GGGGGGCCGAGGGGCCGTGCCCGCACTGTCGCTGCGAGGCGCAGGGAGCTCGGGTATGCAGCGCTACCGCCGCCACTGAGGTCCCGGGACACACAAAGCACGACAGCGCTGCCGAGACGCTAAGCGGCGCTACACACAGCCCCGGACGGGCTAGGGACCAGACTCCGCCCCCTCCCCGGCTGAAGCACACGCCCCTTCCACCCGGCGCACGTGCCCGCGCACACTCGCCTGGCACGAGCACCCCGCACCCATCCTGAGAAGCCTAGGAATGTGGTGGAGACGATGTGGAGTGGTCTCGTCTGTCTGTGTGGTCATTGGTGGCTCCACAAGAGATTCTATCCTGCTCTCGGCACCTTCTGGCTTCATTTATAGCATAACCACCCAAACCTTTATATATATAAAGAGAGAGTGGGGAAAGTTTACATGTAGAACCTCGGTCTGTGTCTGATAGGAAGAGTTGTGCTTCCCATTTAAAGGGAAATTCCACCTTTTTGAAAATAAGTAAATGGACACTTTGTGAAAGAAAACAATGTGCATTTATATTTTTGTTGAATAAGAGCCAGTAAAGCATTGCATCCAGAGCTGTCCCCATAACAAGGAAGCCCAAGGCTGTTGCCTCTGGCGGCATCTCTTTTGGTCAGGTGGGGTGGTGGCAGGCTGCTGTACAATGTTTGCAGTGTGCCAGCCGACCCATGTCTAAAAGCTAGATAGAGAGATGTGTAAAGGCCATACACATTTCTCTGCATGGATCTTAGCAACCTGGGATGCTCTGGCTGGCATACCGCTCAGCTCCTGGCAATTAGTGATGTCACTGGTTGCCAGGAGCTATGCAGGACACTCTGGTCATTACTCAGTGGTGTAACTACCGCCATAGCGACCCAAGCAGTCGCTATGGGGCAGAGGGGGGCCTGGTCAGGTGGCCAGGGCCCAGTAGTGGAGGAGGCTAGGGCCCAGCTGCGCCAGTCCGGTGTGGTGGCAGAGACTGAAGAGGCCGGGACCCAGCAGTGGGCAGCTCGGGGGTGACAGGTAAGAGGAGCGCAAGGTGCAGGGAAAGGGACCCTAACCAGCCCCCCTAAGACTCTGCAGAGCCCACCATAGATGGTGGGCTTTGCAGGGTCACTCTCAGGTGGGCTTTGCAGGGTCTCTGATGGGCTTTGCAGGTTCTCTGGTATGTGCGGTGTCTCAAGTGGGCTCTGCAGGGTCTCAAGTGTGCTGTGCGGGGTCTCAGGTGGGCTGTCCGTGGCCTATGGTGGACTGTGCAAGGTCTCAGGTGGACTGTGTGGGGTCTCAGATTGGCTGTGCGCAGTCTATGGTGGGCTTTCAGGGTCTCACATGGGCTGTGCAGGGTCTCTGGTATGTGTGGGGTCTCAGGTGAGCTCTACAGAATCTCAGGTCGGCTGTGCGGGGTCTATGGTGGGCTCTGCAGGGTCACTCTCAGGTGTGGGGTCTCAGATGGGCTCTGCAGGGTCTCTGGTATGTGCTGGGTCTCAGGTGGGCTGTGCAGGGTCTATGGTGATCTGTTCTTTGGCTCTGACGTCAGAGCCAACAGGAGCAGAGCTTAAGAGAAGGAAATGGAGACGGCACAGGCACGGGAACGTGTTCTGGGGGTTGAAACTTTTTTTTTGTTTGGGGGCCCCATACAAAATGTTTCTATGGGGCCCTGTAAATTCTAGTTACACCCTGCCAGCACTCTTCCTGTACATCAACATGCACACAGTGCTAGGCTGGCTGTGAGGGTAGAGAGCCAGGATGCATGGAATCGCAGATCCTGAGGCTTACCATCACACAGTTGCCTGCTTACAATATGAGTTGCTGCTCATCCTCTGTCATCTCCAGTACCTTCTGCCGAGTGCCTGTCCGGTGTCCCTTAGGAGCTGAGCTGGACGCTCTGGCCGGCATCCCGCCCAGCTCCTAGAAACCAGTGATGTCACAGTTCCTGTCAAAGTATTTGTGAATGGATGACATGGCTGAGAGGAGCCACACACAGCGGAAACAAATTCAAAAATGTTCATAAGCCTGTGGGAAGGAGAACCCCGTGATTCAAGTAAGTGGGTGATGGGGAGGTGGGGGATTGCAATCTGACCATGTTTCATGTTATACCCCGAAAGTGATATCCAAGTTTATTTTTTTTGTTCTATGTTTTTACCTAGAAGGCCCACCGTTGCATAAATTTACTTTTCTTCTTCTTTAAAAATGTTTACTTCCTTGTTTTCTAGTAGGTCCCCATAGCACTCGTCCCCCCGCCCCCTGCACGGGTGCCGCCATGAGCTAAGCAGCTGCTGTGGAGGCAACCGTGCATGTGTTGCACTTCTGACGAATAAACTCCACAGTGCGATCGGGGTTGGGTGAAATTAGGGTGCTTTAATATGAACTGCAATAGAATGGAGGACACTCATCACTGAGGGAACAAGTGTGTAACTGACTAAACAATAATACAGTATAATACAGTATATAAAGCATAACAACTGTGCAGGTACAGTACAGAATTATTGTGATTAACATCCAAATGCAGAATCAACATGTGCTCTGTCTGCTGGGAACATCCTCCCCCAAAGCTGCACTAAGGAAGATGCCACATGTCCTATAATCAGACTGCATTTACTTTCACTTGTCACTGGAACATTAGCTAGACCAGTTTAATCTATTATATTCCCAGTTATGC